TCCCCATATCATGATGCTTGCGTAACCATGCTTCACTGTCTTCACAGTGTACTGTGGCTTGAATTCAGTGTTTGGGGGTCGTCTGACAAACTGTCTCCGGCCACTAGACCCAAAAAGAACAATCTTACTTTCATCAGTCCACAAAATGTTGCGCCATTTCTCTTTAGGCCAGTCAATGTGCTTTTTGGCATATTGTAACCTCTTCTGCACGTCTTTTTTTTCAACAGTGGGACTTTGCGGGGGCTTCTTGCAGATAGCTTGGCTTCACATAGGCGTCTTCTAATTGTAAAAGTACTCACAGGGAACTTTACACCTTCTTTGATCTTCCTGGAGCTGATTGTTGGCTGAGTCCTTGCCATTTTGGCTATTCTTCTATCCATTTGAATGGTAGTTTTTCGCTTTCTTCCACGTCTTTCAGGTTTTGGTTGCCATTTTAAAGCATTTGCGATCATTTTAACTGAGCAGCCTATTATGTTCTGCACTTCTTTATATGTTGTCCCCTCTTCAATCAACTTTTTAATCAAGGTACGCTGTTCTTCTGAACAATGTCTGGAACGACCCATTTTCCTCAGAATTTCAGAGAGAAATGCACTGTAACCAGCATGTACAACATTTGCTGCCTTCCTTCCTTAAATAGGGGCAATAATTGCCACCTGTTTTTCAAAGAATGAATGAGCTCACTAATAGAACTCCACACTGCTATTATTTTGAACATGCCCCTTTCAATTAGTGATTCAATTACACAGAATCAGCAGCATTCATGTCATGACTGTTGGGTCTGTTGGATTTCTATTACTCTACTACACCTGCTAGTAAATTATTTGCCATGTAGAAATATCATTTCTACCAAAAACAGTGATTGATCAGGTTAGTGATGTCTGACTGCTATTATTTTGAACACAACTGTACATGTGGTTTCTTTCTAAGACGCTGTATAAAGCACATTGATGTAAGTGTTTTTAGATGTATTATTAAAGCTTTTTTACTGGGTTTCACACTATTTGAAGCGTGTTGCTCTTCTTATTATGCGTTTCTTTGTACTGAGGGTGCCTGGAGAGAACAGGAGATGTGAGCTGGCGGAGTTTTTTATTGCCATTTCCTTTAAAGTGTTATTAACCAAGCGCTGTTAAACTTCTCATGTAAGAGTCACACATCCTCTGGTAAACCTCTGTGTGTGATCTGGCGGAGGACATGGGGTGCTTTACATGTGAAGAGTTGTATGAAATTATGTTATTTCACTTGGATATGTGGATCATTGATTTAAATTTTTTATATTGGGGATATTCATAATGGATATGGATCTTTATTGTGTGTGAGCAACAAATATTGCACAAAATTTTGAGATATTGTTAAAATTACACAGCTTGTTTGATATTTTTTGAGGAATAGCGCAGCATTTGTGTAATGTATTAATGTAACATAGTGTATCCTATATTACATGGTAGCGGCTTTCCTATATGCATGTTGTTTTTTTTAGAACTCTAGTGGACATTCTTGTTTGTTTTTGACATTAACCACTTGCCCTCCTGAGGAGGATTTACCCAACCCTTCCTGACCAGGCCATTTTTTGCATTACGGCGCTGCGTTAATTTAACTAACAACTGCGCGGTAATGCAACATTGCACCCAAATGAAATTGACATCCTCCTTTTCCCATGAATTGAGCTTTCTTTTGGTGGTATTTAATCGCCTGTGCGGTTTTTATTTTTTTGCGATATAAAAAAAAAAGACAGACAATTTTGAGAAATAAAATATTTTTGACTTTTTGCTATTAAACATGTTCAGTAAAAAAATTTTAAAAATCAAATCTCATCATAAATTTACATCAAAATATATTCTGCTACATGTGTTTGCTAAAAAAAATCCCAATACATGCAAATTAATTGATTTACGTGAAAGTTATAGCGTTTACAAATGGTGGTATATATATACTGGGATTTTTTATTTATTTATTTTTACTAGTAATGTTGGTGACTGTGGCGGACATTCTGACACTGGGGAGAACCGACTTGGTGTCACTGACATCCCCAGTGACTCCAATACAGTGATCAGTGTTAAATAAAAAGCACTGGCACTGTACTAATGGCACTGGGCAGGAAGGGGTTAACATGAGGGGCGATCAAAGGGTTAACTGTGTGTAGGGAGTATTTTACTAGGGGTGGTGTGTGTGTGATTCACTGTGGTCGCACTGCTCTGGATGGCTGTGCACATTGTAACTACAGTCCTCTTCTCCGTCGGTGATCATTGGAAATCACCGGGCGCTGGCAAGTAATTACTGGCCGGGACCCAGTGATTGACAGCTGTGACCGCGAATGGCGGCGCAAGTAGGGCATGCGCGTCCCCTACCCGGAAATGCAAAAGCATATATACGTGATTTTGCGCACCCCTGTAGCAGTATTTCTGCTATGGGGCGGCGGGGATGTGGTTAATACACGTGTGTGTGTGTGTGTGTGTGTGTGTGTGTGTGATATTTCTGTGTATTTCTCACGAAACGTATTGTATATATATTAAATTATAATATATATACACACCCTTTACAGTGAAGGAAATAAGTATTTGATCCCCTGCTGACTTTTTGAATGTTTGCCCACTCACAAAGAAATGATCAGTCTAAGCCAAAAAAGATAGAGCTTTTTCGGTAAAGCACATCATTCTACTGTTTTACCGAAAACGGAATGAGGCCTACAAAGAACAAAACACAGTACCTACGGTAAAATATGGTGGAGTGTTCAATGATGGTTTTTGGGGTTGTTTTGCTGCCTCTCAAAGCCCAGTGTCAGCAGAAAGCTGGGTTTGCGTCCTAAGAAATGGTAGGTGTATTGTAACACTGAGAGGCAGAATAGCAACAAAAAAAATTAAAAAGAAATGCATGTCTAAGAAAGTATCCATGATTTGCATGTTTCATGAGGGAAATAAGTATTTGATTATTGATGGTTTCACAAAGCATATGTTTTAGTACAACCAAATATTAATTGTAATTCGATTTTTAGACTGATCATTTCTTTGTGAGTGGGCAAAACATTCAAAATCAGTAGGGGATCAAATACTTATTTCCTTCACTGTGTGTGTGTGTGTGTGTATATATATATATATATATATATATGTATGTATATATATGTATGTGTGTGTTGTGTGTATATATATGTATTGTATGTATATATATATATGCATATATATATATGTATTTTGTAAGCTCTTGTGAATTCGATTTTTCTTAACCCTTTTGCATTTATATTGTACTGTAACTGTACTGTCTCTGTTTATATTGTAAAGCGCTGCGCAAACTTTTGTTGTGCGCTATATAAATCCTACTGTATATAATAATAATTTGTGTGTGTTGTTGCATGTGTGTGTGTGTGTTACAGCCAATGTGTGAAATTAGGCATTCTCTATAATTTTGATTAGGAATTCTATATATAGCCAATTTCACACATTGCCTAAAAGACATACAAATATACAAGGTGAACTGAACACTGATTTTTGGAGTGTATTAGTGGCTAACAAATTGTAGTCAGGAGTGACTTTTTAGCTTCTATAAGTGCTAGGTGTAAAACCCCTTTTGTTCTTTTTATCACTCCTTCATGTGCCTCTTACATTGTCTGATGTTTCTTGGAATTTGGAGGTCACTAAATGACCCCCATTTGGATTCCCATTTATCCAGCACATTCCTGAGATCCTCATAGTTTAGTAGATATTCAGTACACACCCAGGGTGCAGCTATACAGGCAGCTATTTTTCATCAGTAAGACTGTGTACTTAAATACCTGCGGAGATTTTATAATACAAATCTCTAACGATGCTAAAGTGCATGTAAACCTGAACTATGAACTTCTTATATTTGCTTACTTTTTCTGGTAAATATACCATTTTAAGCATTTTATATCAGTTCCATAAGTGCAAAAATTATCTTTTACAGACTGTGCTGCATGCTTTTTAGTTACATTATAGCCAGCTATCTCGAAAAACAGAACACACCTCGTTATGTTATGATGAAGAGGAGAGGGGAAGGTGTTCTGTAGTCCTAACACACTTCATGGGTGACAACATTGCTCCTCCATTGATAGAGTACAGTCAGCGAGTGTTGTCACACTGGGACACGAAATGTGTAGGATCACCAAGTGAAAATATAGGGGAAAAAAACTATTTCAACCATCAAAAGGTCAGGTAGCCTACAATATATTACATTTTGTTCATGGATTTAGACACATTTTTAAACTTGGAGAAAAACATACAAAGGAATATATAGTTTTGATGACCAAATAGTTTTTTTTTAATACAAGGGTGTTCACGTCAAACAGGGACTTTTGAGTTTATATAATAACAAATTTTAAGGAGTGGAAAACTGCATTTATTTTTCAACATGATCCCCTGCTACATTTATATACTTATCCCAGCTATAACCAATGCCTGGAAAGCTTCGGCGTAGAAAGATTTGTCAGTTCACCTGAACCATCCTAGGACAGCCTGTTTCACTTTATAATCAGTGCTAAAATGCTGACTTCTGAGGAACTCTTTTAGGTGTCCAAATAGGTGGAAATCACTTTGGAGCGAGGTCTGGGTTGTATGGGGGATGTGGCAATACCTCCCTCTTGGTACCCAGTGTGCATTAACTTTTCAAAACTGCAAATGTTTGTGAATGATTGCGTTCCCTGTTCCCAAAGAAAGAATGGTCTCTTGTGCAATTTCACGAAAGGTTATGTGTCGATTATCCAGGATCAGGCGTTCCACGTGCTGAAGGTACACAGAAAAGACTGCTATGGTCTGGGAACCACCATGGATGGGATTGTCACTGATGAGCATACAGCCATCTTTGAAACGTGTACACCATTCAAATGTCTTACTGCGGGTGAGAGTCTCATCACCAAACTGTGCTTGAAGTCTTCTGTAGATATATATTATTATACAGGATTTATGTAGCGCCAACAATTTACACAGCACTTTTACAAAATGAAAGTAAACATTACAGTTACAATACAATTTAGTATAAGAGGAAACAGAGAGCCCTGCTCATACACTATTTTGCCAAAAGTATTGGGACACCCTCCAAATCATTAGATTTAGGTGTTCCAATCACCTCCATGGCCACAGGTGTATAAAATCAAGCACCTAGGCATGCAGACTGCTTCTACAAACATTTGTGAAAGAATGGGTTGCTCTCAGGAGCTCAGTGAATTCCAGCGTGGTACCGTGATAGGTTGCCACCTGTGCAATAAGTCCATCTGTGAAATTTCCTTGCTACTAAATATTCCACAATCAGCTGTTAGTGGTATTATAACAAAGTGGAAGCAATTGGGAACAATGGCAACTCACGTAAAATGACAGAACGGGGTCAGCACATGCTGATGTGCACACCGTGTAGAAGTTGCCAACTGTCTGCAGAGTCAATAGCTAAAGACCTCCAATCGTCATGTGGCCTTCAGATTAGCACAACAACAGTGAGTAGAGAGCTTCATGGAATGGGTTTCCATGGCCAAGCAGTTGCATCCAAGCCTTAGATCACCAAATGCAATGCAAAGCGTCGGATGCAGTGGTGTAAAGCATGCAGCCACTGGACTCTAGAGCAGTGGAGACATGTTCTCTGAAGTGACGAATCACGCTTCTCTGTCTGGCAATCTGATGGACGTGTCTGGATTTGGTGGTTGCCTGGAGAACGGTACTTGCCTGACTGCATTGTGCCAAGTGTAAGGTTGGTGGAAGGGGATTATCATGTGGGGTTGTTTTTCAAGGGTTGGGTTTGGCCCCTTAGTTCCAGTGAAGGGAACTCTTAAGCATACAAAGACATTTTGGACAATAATCAAGCTCCCACCTTTGTGGGAACAGTTTGGGGATGTTTCCTTATTGTTCCAACATGTGCACCAGTGCACAAAGCAAGGTCCATAAAGACCTTAGCGAGTGATTTCGGGGTGGAGGAACTTGACTGGCCTGCATCCTGACCTCAACCCGATAGAACACCTTTGGGATGAATTAGAGCAGAGACTGGGAACCAGGCCTCCTCTCCTGACATCAGTGCCTGACCTTACAACTGCGGTTCTGGAAGAATGGTCAAACATTCCCATAGACACACTCCTAAACCTTGTGGACAGCCTTTCCAGAGGAGTTGAAGCTGTTATAGCTGCAAAGGGTGGGCCAACTCAATATTGAACTCTATGGACTTAGACTGGGATGCCATTAGAGTTGATGTGCGTGTAAAGGCAGGCGTCCCAATACTTTTGGCAGTATCGTGTATATGCGGGTTTTATGCCTTTCATTCACAAAAAACTTCATCACCATATATTGTTCCATGCACGCACTAACACTGCTGCCTGTCATCTTAATTAATGGTCTCTGGACTAGCCCTCAACATGTGCGACGCCTATTAGTAATAGGACACACGCTAGCATCCCTTTTTATATCTGTAAAATTAAAAGTCCCGGTTTTACTTGAACGCCCCTCGTATGTAAATATAGTAAGGAGATATAACACCTGTAAAAATTAGTTCTGAGCAGCATCTTTCAATCTGGGTTTCCTCAGAAGTAAGAAATATATTGAAATAACTTTTATTACTATAACTTAAACTATTATAATTATGACTTTTCATCTATGTTGTTCCTAAGTCTACTGATATCATTGGATGAACAATGTTGGATGGTTTGAAAGTGGTGGTTTGAAGAATGTGACCATGTTGCATGTTACACCCTGGATATGAATGTAGGGTGAATGCCACCTATATGCAGATTAAGCTGCAACATTTTAAAATTGTTTGTTTTATGGAAGTCTTCTTGGATTAAATAAAAGGCACATTTTAATATACTACACTATGGAGGTACATGGTTTTTTTCCCTTTGATGCCGATCTTGGCTGGTGGAGGTGCGCCAGCTGATCCTATGCTGGGACCCGGTGAAGGAGCAATTTACCTAAGCGAATTTGACCATTTATAATTTTATGGTCCGACAGATCTGGTAAGAGGCCTCTATCATTGGTGATAGATGGTGGTAGAGTCTTTCAAGTATATAATGTGCACTATTATCAATGGATGAATTCATTTTTTTTTTTTCTGCACAAATTCCTCTATGTGAAGTGATTATAATTGCATTTACACATGGGACTTTATTGTTTGTATTTGCTTGTTTGATATATATTAATAAAATTGTGTAATAAAATTTGTCATTTTAAATACCTCTGGCACTTTGAGGACTACTCTAAACAGTTTGTATTTGTTGTATCTTTGTGAAAGCTCAGCAGTAAATCAAACTGACATGGACACATTAAAAAGCTAACAATACAACCAGCTTATGGCATTCTTTTTGATATGTACTCATACGTGGCACCACATATCATTCACATGATACATTATGTGTAATTAGAGTTGCAACATTCCTCCTAATATATTAGTAAGGTATTTGGCAAGTCAACGTATACAATTAAGCTATGACTGAATTTTAAACAGTCCTCTGAACCTTTGTGTACAAGCCAGGGGAATCTATATAGATATATATATATATATATCTATATCTATATAATGTTTTGAAAAATGGTAATAGTAAAACGTATTTGACAATTGGGTTGATTATTAAAAGCAAACAGACTGACCACTTTGAAAGGTAATATATCCTTAGCTTAGTAAAGGAGGCAAAGCTCCATCATCCAAGCAAACATTCTGTTTTTTAATTTTCCTTACATGATTGGGTATTCTTTGAAAAGTTATTTTATTTTCTCTCTAGTTCCATTGTCTCCTCCTCCCATACTTGTCTCCAGGACTTCTCCAGAACCTCTCCCATTTTCTGGAGCTCTTTACACCAATCTGTCTGGCTTTCTTCTATTCTTTCTAGTTTTGAGCGATCCCTGAAAACTCATCATCTCTTCAGGGAAGACTATCCTGCCCCCACCTAACAACTGAACTTTTATTTTCTCCATAAGCTCATTCTTCACAGTTTTTACCTTTTGTTCCACATGACTCTTCCTATTATATATTGTAAGCTCTCAGGAGAAGGGCCCATCTAACCCTTAGGCATTGAATTGTGTTGTTAATGTACGGTCTCCCTTTTATATTTTAAAACACTGCGCATTCTGTTGGGGCTATATAAATCCTGTGTGTTATAGTAGGTAAAATTTCACCTCATTCACTAAGCTCTAGGGAAAATTGCCTTGCAAAGTGAACAAAATATTTGCCTTTAGTAAACGAACCAACCAACACTATTTTGTAAAAAAAACATGCAAATGAATGTTGGCCAGTTTTCCTAGTATGGCAGCTTTACTAAACCTGGACTCCATAGAACCCGAGGGTACCTTCACAAGTTGCTAGGGGTTCCTTAAAGTAGAACAATAGGCAAAATATATTTTTTTTTTCATTTTGGACAAGGTAAAGGAGAGGTATAACCCCTGTCAGAATTTTTTTTTTCGCCATCTCTGTCCCATTGTGGAGATTTCTCTTCACTTCCTGTCCCATAGCCAAACAGAAAGTGAGAGAAGATCCCTGCAAATTAAGGGAATTCCTTGGGTACTCCCAGGTCACCAGAGCTAGTGTCCGCATTGGAAGATTTTCATTCTATTACTTTTCTAGGGACAACCCAACATTTGGCATTTTCTTTTACTTTCGCTTTCAGTAATAATGGTAAACAGGACAACTAGAGAGGGTGAATCTCCTTAGTGGGGATACAGACAGCAATAAAAACTGATAGGTGCTCTAATCCCTCTGCACTCTATCCAAAACCAAAAAAAAAAGTTTTGCCTTTAGTTATACTTTGCATTTTATAAAAACCCTCACCATGTAAAAAAACATACAGATTAAAATAGAAATGAAAGGTAAAACATTATAATCACCTTTTTCTCCCTTTTCTATGATCACATACCCTCAGTTCTCAGCTATATAGAGGGGGGGAGGAGAAACAGCAGCAGACTGACGATGTCATAAGATATTGGGAAGCACTGTTATATTGGCCACACAACTACATTTTAATTGTTCGTGCAAATATCTACAGGGTTTACGCTGGCTATACACAGATTTTGATTCGAATGTTTGGGGGAAATTTTGACAAATCATTTGTAAGAGCATTCTCTAATACCATTATTGAGTCAATTAATTTCCCTTGAAGGCCCTTAATAATTTTGTTCAGATCCGCTACTTGAATGGATTCCCAGATGTAGCTAAACAGGTTTCTTTTATCGCTAATGAAATCAATTGAAGCAGGGGTATCCAATTTTTTTTACTTTCCTGGGCCACATTGGAAGAAGAGGACTTTAGGACACACATAATATACACTAAAGCTGACAATACATTATACAATGTTCTTATTCAATTTCCTTTAGATTTACCTTCAACTATGTAGTGCAAGGGCCTGCATAATTGCATACAAATTGAAAGTGCTTAGGTTTGACCTCATATTATATGGCTTTGGTAAATCTAAGCCCTGGTTCACACCCATGAAACTTGTCATGCGATTTGACAGTTCCTATTGTCGGCAATGGAACCATTCAAATCAGTGCAATTCTGACTTTGCATTGCCGCACCGATTTAAAAAAAAAGGTTCTTGCATTATTTTTTGCATAGACATCTATGACTTCATGCATGACTTAATCTAAGTTGCACCTGAAGTCGCACTGACATGCGGCTTTGAAATCTTGTGACTTAGGCTCTATGTACACGGGACATTTGGAAAACACTTCTGAATGAGGGAAACTGACTGCTGGAAAACGTAGGTTAAAAAATGTCTGTTTAGCCGTGTTTGCATACCGCGTTTATTATGCGCATTTAGAAGCATTTTTAAAGATAACCTCAGGAGACCTTCCAAAACGCCCAGAATGCACTGAAAAACAGTAAAAATTTAACGATTTCAGACATTTTGAGAGAAATAGAGAGAGCAGAAGCAGAGAGAGCAGTATGTGTTGAGATGACCATGTCTTTTTTTGGTTGTATCACTATGGATCCCATCATGAGTATAATGCGGCACATTTTACCATTTTTTTTCCTTCACGCAAAACCTGGAACTGACTGCGCTGGTGTACTGGGTCCATTTAAATATATGGAAAACACTTTGCATGCATTTCTGATGATGAAAAAAAGGCTCTGGACAGCATCTGGATATGGAACAGTTAAAAAATGCTTCTAAACGCAAACGCTTATAAACGCGTTTACAAGCATTTGGCATGTAAAATGCTGATAAAATTTACTCCTGAACGCAAGTTTGGTGTGTGTTTAAAAAAAAATGACGGTAAACTCAACTGCCTGTAAACAACATAGTGTACATGGACACATTGGAAAACATTAGGGAGAGTTCAGGGGCTGCTGAAAAAATGCAGTAAAGGTTCTGAACATGAGTTTATCAGCTGCAGTGTAGCATGATTTCAGTTGGATCCAGTGTGAACCAGGGTAAAAGGAAAATTGTACAAGAAAATTCTATAATGTATGGGCAGCCTAACAAAAAGGATAGCCGGTGGGCAGAAAAAGTCAGGCAGTCATAATCATTGATAATGTACCTATCTGAGTAATAAAACTTCATTTTTTTGTAATCTGTTTTATTATATATAAAAGCAAAAGACAGCAACATAAAATGAGTGCAATATTTGACAGTGTTTTTGAAAAAACTAACACATATCTGGTTGGAAGGATGAAGTAGTAATTCTCAATGAATTCTCAAGGTGCTCATCAGATATTTTGGTTCTAATGTTGCCCTTCGTGTTCTTCATCCTGGAAAATATCATGATGATAT